GATATATCCCCAGCAACATTAGCCACGCGGCGACTCTTCACCCCAGTGACAACCGCCCTGAGAAAACACCAAATCCAATACAGATGGGGTTTCCCCACCAAACTGTTAATCATACGTAATGGACAGGCCACGGCAGTGCTCAGCCCAGAAGACGGCATACAACTCTTAAACAAATGGAATATACAGCCGGCAGATCCACCCCAAACACTTAACACCCTACCTCCTGAGTGGAAACGGGCGAAACGTTAACCGTCGCCCACAACACCCCACTGCAAACTATTGTTGCCGTTAACTACCATACTCTACAGATCTCCAAGAACTTTGATTTCCCCCCCCAGAGGCCCCCTTGTGTGACCTGATCCACCCACGCCATGGACCCCGCAGTCACTACAGGCAGCTACAATCAACACCCTCGAGGCTGTGGAGAGGGCTACAGAAACATTGAGGGGCATCCAGGGGCATCATGAAGGGACTACTCCTCACCCTACGCTGTCACATGTCAAGATCACCTTGGGAACGATCCCAAAAGACACTTATCAATACAAGCAACCACAGACCCGTCCCGGGACTACCACCAGTGAGGGGCATCACCCGAGACACCCGACAGACGTCCACTCAGGTTAAATGGGACCGACTCAGTGACTGGAGAGAAAAGGTAGCATAGGGTCACTGAAGTTAGTGGGAGCAGGGAGCGGGGAGGGCAAACAGTAGGCCAAACACAAGCCCCAAGCATAGCACCCCCACCCCTACACTGGCTCCGATCTCACAACGACCGGGGACAAAAGATCACCTTCCACAGCCAGGGGATCTTTTAACCGCCCACTTGCAGCCAGGAACGAACCCTTAAAACTCCCCCCCAAACAACGTTATCCCCTGACTACTCCGACGAAATAGAGCAAATACGCCTGAGGCGTGAGGATCCCAACAAGGGGGAAGCCTTTACTGGAGGACCCACATTAAGGGAAGGAGGGGATAAACACTCACCTAGGTGGGGACGGGGAGAGGAAGTTAGAGGAGACTTAGTCATAGAAAGCGGCCAACCATTGCAGTATCTTTTGGGGATTGTTTAAGGTTAAATCCTCATGTTAGAGGAAACCAATGTGTTATAATATGTACCTGTTACTAATGTTAATTTTATATGTCAAGTTGAGGCTCATACCACATTGTCTAGAAGTGCATAGATCCGCCTGTACGGAGCGTGGACACCCGAACCCATCAAGCCTAACCTCAACCCCGAAGGGAACTGGGTGACAAGCTCAGTACAGCCGAATCCAACTCTGTTCGCCGGAGGGCGATTAACTTTAACTCAATGGGGGATAGCCCTGAGTTAGTCCTGAGTGTTCGCCTATGCGACACTCAACACGACACCTTTCCTTTTCTAGCCTTTCATCTTCTTTTCTCCTTTCCTTTTTCTCCACAGGAGGTACGACGGACGAGGGGGGGTGGGAATCCCACGGATATACGGGTATGTTACTACACCACACTGTACACACACTATGCGGATAATATCACATAATGTTAAAGGGTTGAACACCCCATCAAAACGTCATGCCCTCTACAAAGAAATAAAACAACTGCAGGGCGACATCATATGTTTGCAGGAAACACACTTCCGCAAATCTGACCCATGCCGCTTCGGCATCAAACAATTCCCATACCAATTCCACTCAACTTCAGACACTAAATCCAAAGGGGTATCCATCCTTATCAGCGACCAAGTATCTTTCTCCTTAATCAAAAAAATAGCTGACTCTAAGGGTCGCTTCTTAATAATCATAGCTCTGATCAACGACGTTACATACACAATAGGCAACATCTACGCCCCAAATGACCACCAAAGAGACTTCTTAACTAGAATCCTAGCCAAAATCGACAAACAACAACAGGGTTTCCTTATCCTAGGAGGAGATTTCAACTGTATCCAAGACCCTGTACTGGACTCATCCTCCGTCAAAACACCCACACGACTCAAAGCACTATCGAAATTAGCCAAACAACTAACCACACTTTTCCACTCCTACAATCTTTACGATGTATGGAGGACCAAACACCCCCCAGACAGAGCATACACATACTACTCATCTGTACATAACTGTTACAGCAGAATAGATAGGTATTATGTAAAAGGCACACAACTAACACAGGTCTTGGAATGCGAGACTGGGAATATCGAATGGTCAGACCACGCCCCGATCATCCTCACGATAGCAGACAAATTTGCCTTCAAAAACAAACCTCCTTGGCGACTCAATGAATCGCTTCTCCAGACCCCCCATTTCACAGAAAACATGCAGACGGAAATTGACCAATACTTTAATGCTAATGCAACACCCATGATGTCCACAGAAACACTGTGGCAAGCCCACAAAGCTGTAGTAAGAGGCCTCTTCATAAAACAGGCTGCCCACGCAAAAAGAACCTCCCAAGCCAAACTCACAGAATGGAGCAAAGAACTCCAACACTTAAATACACAAAACCAAACAAAACCCTCCAAACACCTTAAGAAACAGATACTGCAGCTCCAATCCAAAATCCAAGAGGTACACCTGCACCGCACCAGCTTCATGCTGAAAAAACTGAAACTTACCCACTACACTCAGGGCAATAGAGCCGGAAAACTATTAGCCTCCACACTGAAAGAACAACAGACTCGCTCCCGGATACCACATTTACACTCTGACACAATTGGTAAGATACTCTCCCCAGGAGACATTAGTAACGAATTCGCCTCCTTTTACACCCAGCTCTATAACATCCGGAACGACCAGGACCAACACCACGCCACTACCGAGGAATCCACTACATACCTAGACCACATTAACACTACCACGTTGTCAGCAGACCAAAGGGAATCACTGGCCAAACCAATAACCGCAGAAGAAATTGAGCAGGTTATACAGAATCTCCCAGCCAACAAAACACCAGGCCCTGACGGACTGTCTAACATTTACTACAAAAAATTCCGTAAAAGCCTGACCCCCCACTTGCTAAAATTATTTAACGATGCAGTTCTCAGCTCCAAATTACCTCAAGACATGCTAGCGGCGACAATAATCACCCTGCCAAAACCAGGCAAACTCCCCACGCACTGTAAAAACTTCAGGCCCATATCCCTACTTAACTCAGATGCCAAGATATTCGCCAAAATAATAGCCAACAGAATGTCAGACGCTCTTACGACACTTATCCACTCAGACCAATCTGGCTTCGTAAAGGGGAGACAAGGCACAGATAACACTAGGAGAGTACTTGACATCATGTACTCCATGCAAAGACAACACACAAAAGGGATTCTAGTATCCCTTGACGCCGAAAAGGCATTTGACCGCCTTAGCTGGAACTTCCTCGAAGCAGTGCTGAAAAAATATGACTTCCCAGACGAATTCCTATCCGCAGTTAGGGCACTGTATAATGTACCCACAGCGAAAGTACTATACGGAGGCTTTCTCTCAGACTCCTTCACCATCACCAATGGGACGCGGCAGGGGTGTCCTCTGTCACCCCTGCTGTACGTCCTGGCCCTCGAACCACTCGCGACCCGAATTAGGGCCCACCCTGACATACAGGGGGTTCACATAGGAAGTACTGAACACAAACTCAGTCTATTCGCTGACGATGTTCTCCTCACCATCACACAACCAGACACCTCCATCAAAGCACTCACAGAGGTTTTGAAAGAATACAGTAGGCACTCATACTACAAGCTAAACGAGGCCAAAACACAAGCCATGACAATTAACCTAGACCACAAGACGACAAACAACCTCAAAACGCACTACAATTTTGACTGGAGAAATGACCATGTGGTTTATCTGGGAATAAAACTAACAAAAAACCCGCTAAACCTAATCAAAGCCAATTACCTTAAAATAGCCTCCGACATCCGCACAAAACTGGACAATTGGAAAGGTAAATTTCTGTCCTGGCTGGGCCGCATAGCGGCCTTTAAAATGATGCTGCTCCCGAAGCTGCAGTTCTTGTTCCGATCCATACCAGTGGAAGTCCCGAAGACATACTTTAGCCAATTGCAAAGACACATAGACAGGTTTATTAATGACAGACGCAAATCCCGCATCCCAAAGGCCACAGCCACTAGAAAACTAGGAGAAGGGGGAATAGGCAGACCAGACATCCTAGCTTACTACATAGCCACAATACTCAGCCACTCCATCGCGGCACAAGATACAAAATACCAACCACCTTGGGTGGAGATTGAGTCCTACTGGTCCCTAGCAGAAGGGATCGCCTGTCTATTCTGGATACCTAAACCCCTGAGACCACAAATGCACAACATGCTACCCACCACGGCCCTAATGCTAAAGACATGGGACAATAAAAAAGACACGTTCTCCTCCTGGAGCCCAATATCGTTGGCTACCCCAATCAAATGTTTCAAATACTACATTCCCACCTTCGACAGCAGGGGATGGGAGGGCAAGGGAACAGTCTTTCTACACCAAGCATGGAGCGGGGAGAACTTGATCCCTTTCCCCCAACTCAACCTGCCGCTGAGCACACCCCAAATAAGTGGCCTGTCATACCTACAGCTACAATCCCTACTAAGAACCACCAACCAAACGAAACCCCTCCACCCACCCACAATACAAAACATGACCAATATAGAAAAAATGTGCGCAGGGCTACTACCAAAGAAAAAGGTCATAACAACCTGCTATGAGGCAATTTTGAAAGACGATAAACGACCAAAGCCTAAATACACCACAGACTGGGAGGTAGACATAGGACGTAAAATACCTGACGCCGCCTGGTCGGGAGCCTTTAAGATACACAAAAAATACACAAAATGCAACTCCCACGTAGAATTAATAAGGAAAATAGCCACCAGATGGTACCTAACACCAGCGAAGCTAGCACACATGTTCCCAAACACCTCTGACAAATGCTGGAGATGCAACACTGACAAGGGAACAATGCTACACATCTGGTGGGATTGCCCGTTAATCAAACCCTTCTGGGCGGAGATCGCCAAGCTAATGGGGGAAGTACTACACAAACCAATACGGGAATCAGTGGAATTCTTCCTACTGTTCATATTCCCCGACCTCATCTCAAGACAACAAGGGACTCTGGCATTCCACATACTGATAGCAGCGAACTTGCTTATAGCTAGGAAGTGGAAATCCACCACTGCCCCCCCCATAGGCGAAGTGATACAACAGGTATCTCTCAATGGCCAGTACGAAAAAATGGCCCATGAGAGCTCTGATAGACGCAATAAAATTCTAGACACATGGGAAAAATGGAATGAATGGGTGGAAGGGAAAAACCTTAGGGATGCGGCACAGGAGGCAACAACCTGGCGGCAAAGGGGTACTGTACCCACACCACTTGAAAAGCAGAACCCATAGGGACCACCACCTCCGTCCACTCTCCCCCCCCCCACCAACCTAGAAGACCCACGATGATATCACTCGTGCCTAAAACTAACCCTCCTCTCGCTACTCCTTTGCTAGTTTCCTTTCTCTCTCTCTCTCTCTCTCTCTATAGGAGTCCTCACACCCAGCCCTAAGCTGGAACTTCCTTAAAACTCCTGGGGTCCACACAGTCGGACACAACACAGAATACCAAAGGCACATAAAGATGATGCTACCGCAGTCTTTAGAGACCTTATAGGTACGGAAAGACAAACGAGATAAGGGGCCAGCTACAGACAAACTACAAATTTAATGAGGCACGGAGTAAACTAGCTGGAGGCCCACAGAAAGCAATGACCATGCATATACAATTGTATAACTATATAATAATGTAACGTTAAGATAAAGAATGCACGCAACCAATGTAACAAAACATAGTGCTGATACACTGTTCGATAGTACTAACTAATGTGTCTTGTGCCTGTTTGGATTTCCGGAATAAAAAAGAAATAAAGAATTAAAAAAAAAAAAACATGTCTGTTTAACTGTATCAGGGTTATTCACTTAAGTCTGAATTGCAAGGAATTAAATTTAAATGAAAGTGAATAAATGTTTTAGGCCTCTATAGCTTATTTGGTAACGTTCTCCTGGTCAACTAGAGTTTAATCTTCGCTATTTTAAGGCTGAAATTTGACTTTGAATTCCTGATAAGTCAATAACCCCGTAGGTGTATATAAATGTCTGTTTTACCACAAGTGTACATAATTATAAGCTCTAATGATCGTGTATATATGTCTATTAAACTGTATGTGTGTATAGAGTTGTGTGGTCAGATGCCTGTTTTGTGTAATTATAAATACTGTGGATATATTACTCTATGTGCATTTGTTTAATTGAAAATCCGACAGCCTTTAAAGGGATTCTTATAGTGCCCCCCTCCCTCGCACCCCCTCCTCCCGCGGTTAAAACTCCTTGAGTCACTTACCTGAATCCATCGCCAATGTGCCTCGGCGCTGGGTCAGACTCCACCCACGTTCTTCCCCTGCTGACAGGGGAGACCTAATGGCTCGCTTTAGGATTTCCCTATAGGAAAGCATTAATCAGTGTTTTCCTACGGGGACAAATCTGATGCTGGAGATTGTGCGGACGTCCAGTGTCAGATACCGAACCAAAGGTCCGTTTCAAACCAGGAAGCTCTCTAGCGGATGTCTGGTACACAGCCACAAGAGGTGGAGTTAACGCTGCGAGATAATTATTGCAGTTTCTCAGAAACATCAATAATTACCACTGCAGGGTTAAGGGACATGGGACATTGCACCCAGACCACTTCAAGGAGCCGAAGTGGTCTGGGTGCCTACAGTGTCCCTTAAATTATTTATCATTTTATCAAATGCTTGTATAGGTGGCCCATATATAATAATCGAAATATAGTTCTGGGATATCTGGTTATCATTGATTACTAGCTAAAACTAGCAAGTACTCCTCTTGCTGCATTGTGGTAGATTTTGAATGACCTAGAATATAAGGATCTTAATCGCGCAGGAGGCTTTTTGATAAATAAAGATCAATCAGGAGAGGGCTTGGGATATTCCCTAATCACACTATACCCTATAAAATACAGCAAGGAATCCATACAGTGAAAGTTGGAATTGGAATGTTGAGGCATCCAGTATTTACACTATCCCACACTCATTGAGCGGGTACTGTACAAAATAAGCATAGTGAATCTTTGGTTTGGAGTGAGAATGTACTAAAGGAAATGAACACAATGAGTTTTGGAGGCAGGTGAGGGGACCACCTAGCATCAAATAATTTATTGTTACAATCAGGTATAATAAGAAATTAGTACTGTGAGATATGGGAGCAGGTAGGTTCCCTGCGAAACACAATATACTGCAGAGAGCAGAAACATTAACCCGTTAAGGACCGAGCTGCAAAAACTGGACTTTAAGGACACAAGCCATTTTTGCATTTTTTGCTGTTTGTGTTCAAACACAATTTGCATCTCTGTCATTTATTGCACCAACACATATTATATACCGTTTTTTAGAGGGCAAAAAGGGCTTTAATTTGATGTGACATATACATAGATACATTCTCATTAATCATAAAACAAATGCCAAAAAATGGGGAAAAATTTTTTTTTTTCATAGTTTTGACAATAATAGCGTGTGCATAATATGTCCAGCTTAGAAAAAGTAATTCAAAATAAATTCATTTATGTGTTTTGATTTATAGAGTACATAATATGTAAAGGATTTCAGCTTATTTTGAAAGCTACAGGTCACAAAATAAAAGGACTAAAATAAAATTTCAATGTGTAGCAATTTTAGAAGTTGGTATTTTTGTCTTGTAGGTTTAGTTACCATCACAGAAAACAAAATTGCTACAGAAAAGTATATATTTATATAAAGTAGATATCACAGGCTATTTACCTATGGTTAGTTTGGCACTTTTTACAAAGCCATTTCATCGCCAATCTCTGCTTAATATTGGAGTAAAATTGTGTTTTATCTATTTTGGCATGTACACATATAACAAGGTTTTTGTAATGTGTATTTTGTAAAGCTGGTGTGTGCTATTCCTGCACAGAACCCCATATTGTATTTAACTACATCTGCTGAGTATAACGATACCCCCATTGTATGCCTTTGGCACTATTCTGTGAAGCTACAGTGCCATATAAGAGACAAGGCTATTTCAATTTCTATAGTTAGAATTTTCATAGATGGATTTGACGGGCCTATGTCTCATTTTGGGGTATTTATATCAGTGTGAGTATTCAAATAACCCCACAAAAGGCTACCATTTGATAAAGTAGACACCCTGGGGTATCTTATATGGTGTATATTGTGCCTTAACTTGTCACCATTTTATCACCAATTTATGTCAATGTTTGTGGTAAGGGGGAAAAAATTGTACTTTTACATATGTTTTGGGGTTTTTTGAGTATGTTCTTACACTTGATATGTACCAGTGTCATAAAATCCCACAAATTATGCTCAGTTACCTCTTCTGAGTAATACAATATGCCCAATGTATGACCTAGACACTATTTTGTGAGGTTACAGTGCTGTAAAAGAGACGTGACAAGTTCAGGTTTTTAAATGTGAATTTTCATGGACGGTTTTGATGTGTCCGTGTCCCACTTTGGAGCACTTGAGCAGGCTATACATCCCAGCTACACCATAAAGCCATACCATTTCTTCAAGTAGCCACCCCAGGGTATTTCAAAAGGTATATTTTGAACCTTAGTGTGGGATCATTTTTCCGCTAGATTGTACCAGTTGTAGTGGTAATAAGCGTTTTTCTGCCTTTTTGACACACAAAGTGAGTTTGCGAAGTATATTTTGCAAACCTTATGTGTGCTACAACTGTATAATACTTAATATGTTGCTCAGCTATGTTGGCTGAGTACAGCAATACCCCCGTATGTACCTTTGCCAGGTATATGTGGATGTTGAAGGGGCGCATTTGAGATGCAGCCATTCAGTTTTTTTCTAACTTTGAAGTTTTACGCTGTGTCCATGTTTCATTTCAGAGTAGTTTAGCTGGTTGGTTATTCAAACTTTCCCACAAACACATACTATTTATTAAAGAATACACCCGGGGTAATTCAAAAGGCATATTTTGAACCTTAGCGTGGGATCATTTTTTTGCTAGTTTGTTACAGGTGTAGTGGTAATTAAATTTTTTTTCTTTAAATTTGTTTTTTATAACTTGTTTTAAAGCTTTTTTGTTTACTTATATTATTATTATTATTTTATTATTTATAAAGCGGCATCAGATTCCGTAGCGCTGTACATATAAAAAATGTTTTACTTTTTAACCCCTTAAGGACCAAACGTCTGGAATAAAAGGGAATCATGACATGTCACCCATGTCATGTGTCCTTAAGGGGTTAAAACTTTCTTGAAACTTTTTTTAGACTTTTAAAATTTGTATAAACTTTTTTTTGTTTTTTACCGCTAACCCCTAACTAGCAGTAAGCAGCACTAACAGTAAATCCCCCAATTTCCCATAACTTCCACCCACCCCCGCTCGCTAAATGTATAATTTTTAAATATTTAAATTAATTAATAAAATAAATGTAACCCCGGAGGGTTAAACATTAAATAAAACTTAACCCTCAGGGGGTTAAAAAAAAAAAAATGAGATCACAGTAAAATGTAGTCCCTGCTAATTGATCACTGTAGTCAGTGATCAATTGGCAGGGAAGGGGTAAATTTTATTAAAGCAGGGGAAAGGGGGGATGGGATTTAACTTTTACTTTATTTTTTTACACAGGGAGAAGATCAGCAGCACTGATCCGTCTCCCTGCACTTCACACTGACCTGGAAGCACAGAGAGGCGGACCAGAAGTCCCTGCCGCACATGTGCTTGCTCTGACAGCCTGTCAGAGCGATCACAGTTGCAAGAACAGCGCTACCGGGTGCTCCCCGTCTGCCTTGAATACGAGGCAGACCGGAGGAGCGTTAACCCCGCGATTGCATCGATCTGGGGTTCATTTTAGCGCATGACAGTCTGGGGTCCGTCATCAGGTGTTAAGTGCTTCCCCAGCACTTAAGGGGTTAAAGTGACAATATAGTCACCAGAACAACTACAGCTTAATGTTGTGGTTCTGGTGTCTATAGCATGTCCGTGCAGGCTTTCAATGTAAACACTGCCTCTTCAGAGAAAAGGCAGATTTACATTGCTGCCTACGCACACATCTAGTGGCAGTCACTCAGCGGCCATTGCAGGGGCTTCCTGGGTCAGTGCTACACAGTGTGCAGCACTATGGGAAAGCATCAGATTGGCTGAGATCATCAAGGTTTATGATCTCAACCAAGGGGGTGGAGCCAGCCGAGAAGATACCCATGCAGTGGAGGAAAAAGGTGAGTAAAATCACATTTTAAAGAGTGAATGGGGGAGGGGGGAAGGTACCTAAACGGCTATTTAGACCTACAGGTTTATATTCCTGACACTATAGTGTTCATTTAAAAGACAGGTTAGGAAGCAGTGACCAGCACTGAGTATGACGAGGGTACAGTAAGGATTAGGAAGATATGTTACACAGTATCACAGTAATCCAGTGAACAAATTGAGAAAGCATCTCTAATACTCTAAGAAAATAGATTGTCATAGGTTTTCCCCTCCAACCACCATGATCACTTCTGCTTTTAATAGTAGGAATCTGTAAATGCAGCATTTTTGCTTGAAATTCTGCATATCCAGAGAAACTTGCTGTTTTGTGCTAGGGATAGTTACTCCCTAGAACACGTGACTTCCAGACTGCCTAATGTCAATTCTGTGCTAAAAAACAAGTCGGACGTCAGCGCTATGGCGACAGACGCGGTCACCTACTCCCGTACTGGCAACGCTGGGATTGCGGACTGCAAGCGAATCCTAGTTCTCCCCTCCCATCTCCCTCCATTGTCTGTTCTTTCTTTCTTTTTTTTTTTTATCTCCTTCCCTGTCCACCACTCCTTCGCTCTGTGAGAAGCATTTGATAGGACCACGAGAGGAAGTCAGAGCTGGATTAATTAATCTCTTTTTTTAAACATGTTTTATGCCAAAAAAAGGGGTGGATATACTTGCCGGGGCTGTACAAGTCTAGCAAACCAAGGTAAAAAAAGGGTTACGCTGTAAAAATGACTTTGCTCAAGAACCAACAGGTTCTACATTCCTTTACAATAGGTAACAAGGAAATCATAAATGTGATCGTATGAAACGTTCATTTTTTACTTATATGTACATACATACATATATATATATATATAAATAACTTGTTATGTAATGAATCCTCAGCGCTACCATTAGGGTTAATATAGAAGCCAGCACCAATTTTGATGTTTGAGGTTCCCTTACTCTTATTCATCTGGAGGAAATTGAGAATTGAGGTATAATTCTTTTTCTATGCCCTGGCAGCGAGATCATATTTGGGAATCTTTTAGCTTAAGTCTGATAATGCCCTTACAAGGATCAGTGCTTCACCTTTCACTTTAGATCCACACCCTTTAGATTTGACAGAAAGCATACACCCTACGCCAACTCCGTGCCTCTCTGGGGGATCAGATAATGAAGCAGTGTAGGTCATAGTGCAGAGTACAGTGTTATACGCAGGCATGGGTGAGAGAGTTTTGTATACTGTGAAAGTTAATAAATACAAGGTAAGTCAAAACTAGGGAACCACCCCAAACACTTTTTACAGGGCACGTAGAAAGAATAACTAAAATCTCCTCTAGGCTGAAAGATCAGAATTTACTGTGCTGGCTCCTATATAAAGCTCAAGGTGTGTGTGTGTGTGTGTGTATGTCTGCTTCAGTTTATGATTTCCTTGCCACCTTACTGTAATGGAATGCAGAACGTGTTGGTGTTTTTCACATCGTATTAGAGAAAGTTCTGAATTTGCAGTTGGGTTACTGGGTGCTGTCCTCGTGATTCCCTACAGGGTTTTTCACCAAAGTGATATTTTTTTTTTGTGGTAATTTAAAGTTAATTTCAATTTAAGACCAACGTTGCTGGAAGCATAGCTGAATTAGATTTTTTTTTGCCCCATTTTGACTATTTTAGCTTTAAATTTGAATTTCTGACAATTTAGACACTTTAGTAAATACCCCTATCAGTGTCATCTTAGCATTATGAAATATAATAATATATATACCTGTGATGTGCATTATGCTACCCCTAAACCGTAGTCTTTAAATCTTTAATTTTAAAAGAACTCTTTAATGGAAATATATTTTTTTAAATAACCGCTTGCAAAAGCTGCAGATTTTTTGTGCACAGCCTTGCAAGCCGTCCCTTCCTAATCCCGCCATGACTTTCTGTGGCTGTCCAATCACAGACTTCCCAATGCAGCTCAATGAGAAATCTTGGCAAGGCAGGTGCTCTGGACAATTGCTGCCTCTTGAGTT